TCAACAAATTCCTTTAGAGACTTCAAGCTGAAAGCACAGGGTACGTAAGGAGTCAGCAACCCGTTGAGTCGCTTAGCCAGTCTGTATGTCGGTGTGGGTATCAGGCTGATGATTGGCCGAAGTGGGTTTCCAGGCTTGTGGGTCTTGACATTGCCATAGGCATATCCAGGTTTATATTCCCCAACAACTTTTGGCAGGCGGAGTCTGGATTTCTTGGCGTTCACAGTTTTGATCAATCTGTTTACCTTCGTTTTCTATTCGGCTGTAGCGTCCTTCGTTACCCTTTGGAATTTAGTTTGGTCAGAGAGTATGAGGTTCATTTTTGCCAGATATTCGTCTTTTTAAAGAATGACGTATATTGGCGACTTGTCACCTCTCCTGATGACTATCTCCTTGTTCTCACGAAGGCTCTTAGCTGCCGCTTTGAGTTCTGGGAACATTATGGTGCTTCAGTAGTTACCTCGAATCTTTCCTCCTTCTGTAATAAATTTTGCTTGCAAGGTGTCTTTAGTGGTAACTTTCTTTTGCTCCTCGAGGTCGAATATGTCGTCCAATAGGATCTCCAACTCCACTTTCCGGGCCATCTCACTCGGTCTGGACATAACGTGACAGTTTATACCCAGATTTAAGAGAGTAATTTGGTCCTCAGTGAGGTTGATTCCAGCAAGGTTTAAGAAGCCATCTCTGGGTCGTGAAATCGCCTTAGATCCTCCAAATACTGTTGTCGACAACATTATTTGGAGGACCTAATCAATCCAATCAAATCCAAACCAATCCCCCACTCCCCCGTCCCCTCGTCCTCCTAATCATTCCCCACTCCACCGTCCCCTCATCCTCCCCACCATCTCCCACTCCCCGTCCCTTGTCCTCCCTACCACATCCCCCTTTTCCGTCCCTCGTCCTCCCCCTAATCCCCCACTCTCCTGATCCCCTTCGCCTCCCCACCATTCTCCATTCCCCTGTACCCTCGTCCCCACCATCCCCAACTTCCCCGTCTCCTCGTCCTCCCCACTGTTCCCCACTCCCTCATCCTATGCATTCTTAAATGATCTGATGTTCCCATCAGAAAATTGGGAACATCAAATTATCTGATGTTCCCATCACTGAAATATACGAAAAACTGTTAAAAAAAGAAATAAAAAACAATTTAAAAATAAAAAATAAACTGTACTCAGGAAATGAACGGTATGGTAAACAACACAGCTCAATTCCCATGCAATGTCACACAAAATAATTATATCAAAATTAAAATGAATCGAAATCTATGAAAATTCAATTTGTCAATGTAATCGGAAACATTAAAATGAAACCGCAACATATTTTGTATAGCGTTTGTTGCTCTTATGTGCAACAAATGGCGTTGTTTCTTAAAAAAGAATGTTTTTACTTGGCACAGATATGGTATCTATACTTATACTTACGAAATGAATGGTATAGTAAACAACACAGCTCCATAGAAATGGACTGTCACACAAAATAATTAAATCAAAATGAAAATAAATCGAAATATATGAAAATTCAATTTATAAATGCAATTGGAAACAATGAAATGGAATCATAACATATTTAGTATAGTATGTGTTGCTATTATGTGCAACAGATGGCGCTGTTTTTCAAAAAAGCATGTATTTACCTGTCACAGGTGTGGCGTCTATATAGTAGATATACAAAAACACACGCATATTGTCATGTTCATAGCAAACAGCACCATCCACTTGTATGCGCTGCTTTTCATATGCCAGCAATAGATAAACAACAGCGAGCGTACAGGACGCCCGCCAAGCTTGGAAGCTGCTAGTCATGTATCATCTTAAGTATTAAAGTCAGTAACCAAGCAATGGCTTTATATCAACCCTACAACCAAGACTTCCTCAGCAACACACGAACACCACACAAATTTGAATAGAACGTTGTGTCAAAATTTCAAAGCAATCTGTGAAGAACTTTCGGAGATTAACGATTTTGAACAAACGAACATTTACATTTTTATTTATATAGACTAGCTGTACCCGGCCACACGTTGCTGTGTTCCCTGTCTCCCAGTCCTCCCCACCATTCCCCATCCCCCGTTTCCTCGTCCTCCCCACCATTTCTCATTGCCATGTCCCCCTCATCCTCCAAACCATTCCCCCCCTCTCCCCCATCTCCTCGTCCTCCCAACTATTCCTCCCCTCCATCGTCCCTTTATCCTCCCCATCATCCCCCACTCCAGCGTCCCCTCGTCCTCCTAACCATTCCCCTCTCCACCGTCCCCTCATCCACCCCACCATCTCCCACTCCCCCGTCCCCTCATCCTCCCTACCATTTCCCTCTTCCCCATCCCCTCGTTCTCCCCTCCATCCCCCACTCCCCTGTGCCCTTGTCCTCCCCACCATTCTCCTTTCCCTTGTCCCCTCGTCCCCACCATCGTTAACTCCCCCATCCCCTCGACCTCCCCACCATTACCCCCTCCCCTGCCCCCTAAACCTCCCCACCATCCCCCACTCCCATCCCCTCGTCCACCCCACCATTCCCCACTCCCTCATCCGATGCATTCCCAAATGATCTGATGTTCCAATCAATGAAATATAAGAAAAACAGTTAAAAAATGAAATGAAAACAATGAAAAAATAAAATAATGAACTATACTCATGAAATAAACGGTATGGTAAACTACACAGCTCAATTCCAAAACAATGTCACACAAAATAATTAAATCAAATGAAAATAAATTGAAATCTATGAAAATTCAATTATCAATGCAATCGGAAACATTCAAATGGAATCGTAACATATTTAGTAGAGCGTGTGTTCCTATTACGTTCAACAGATGGCGCTGTTTTTCCAAAAAGTATGTTTTTAACCTGTCAAAGGTATGGCATCTATATAGTAGGTATATAAAAACACGCGCCTTTTCGAATGGAACGTTGTGTCAAAATTTCAAAGCAATCGGTGAAGGACTTATTTATTTATTTATTTTTTTATTTATATACAAGAAGGTACATTGGGTTTGTGAGAATACATAGCATAGTATTTACACTCTTGTAAAGCCACTAGTACGCGCAGCGTTTCGGGCAGGTCCTTAATCTAACATATAATTTTTAGTAGGTAAATTCTATCAGAATTAATAAAATGATAACAAATACATTGCAAGAAAAAAAATGAGATGAGAGAGATTAGTAAGTATAATAAAGCACATTGGTATATTAAAGCTCTGATTGATTACATTGACAGCTTGATTGGTAATTTAAACAAGATTAATAGACACCATACAGCAGATTGACAGTACATATAAGAAGACAGCAATGATCACAATGATAAAGATGTTCAGATTGGGTACATAAAGATTGGGAGATTGGGTAGCAATAGATAGAGTGCAATTTTAAAGCAAAAGGTAAAAAACTATGAAAATGAAATTAGGTACTTTTTAGTATTGTTTTTGAATGACGCAAAAGTTGGACAGCTTTTCAATTCAATAGGGAGTGAGTTCCATAGACTGGGTCCCTTTATTTGCATAGAGTGTTTACACAGATTAAGTTTGACTCTGGGGATATCAAAGAGATATTTATTTCTGGTGTGAAATAAATTTCTGGTATCTACTGGTAAATAAAAGTTTCTGGTAAATCTAGATTTCTGGAATCTACTTTCGGAGATTACAGCATGTGTTGCTCTTACATCCAACTGATTGCGCTGTTAAAAAAAAAACATATTTTTCCTGTCACAGGTGAGGTATGTATATAATAGGTATATAAAAACACGCGCCTATTCGAATGCAACGTTTTGTCAAAATTTCAAAGCAATCGGTAAAGAGGTTTCGAAGATTTCCATCTCATGAAAAACAGTTTTTTAAACAAAGCAAGTTTTTTTCCCGTCACAGACGTGGCATCTATATAGTACGTATATAAAATCCTGCTCGGATACGAATGGAATGTTGGGTGAAAATTTTAAAAGAATCGGTGAAGAACTTTCGGAGATTAGCGATTTTGAACTAACGAACATTTTCATTTTTATTTATAAAGATAATAGGGATACCACCTCTGGTGCAATTGTAGGAACCCACAGTCTCGAAGAACAAAATAAAGAGTATTCAGAGAAGACCTTGTGGATTCTCACTGAACACTTTAATCTTGTCTTCTCCTATCACCCCTATTTTTTTGTTATATATTTTGTTTTATTATATTTTATTTTATTGCAATGCTACAGTTTACAGAGAACACACACACACACATAACAATATAACAATCAGTGATCGAAGACCTCATCCACCTTCTCGGCGGTTGGGTGCGTACCCAGGATACAGCACACATTTCCCCTCTGAACTGCGACACTGAGGCGCTGGAACAAGAAACTGGCCGTTCACGAGTCTTTGTTTTCCCAATGAGTTCCTCGCACACCTCCTTTAAGAACTTAAGTGCACATTTACCACAGGCGCCCAGAATCTCAGAGCCTATCGGCACGAACCTGTAACAACGTTCTAGGTCTCTGTACTTGTGGATTTTCTGGGTCTCCCTGAAGGTGGCCGCCCCGCCTCCCTCGGCTGAGCTGCAACGTAAATAGGTATCAGCCAATGTAGATGCACACGTGTAATCCCATACGACCTGTTTACCTTTCCTTCATGACTGCAGGGTGATTCCATCTGGGCGTTTTTGGCTGTTGTCAGGCCTGCGCAACTGAGGTTCCCTTTGTGCTGGACACCCAGCTGTAGCCAAACTTCTCTTGATGATGTCATTGACTGCTTCATGTCTGGCAATCTTTCCCTGTGTCTTACGACAGATGAAACCATGGCTGCCGTATTGGTCTGCCCGTGCATGGCCGCAAATACACCGGTGCTCGGTGGAGATAGGGGGCGGCAAGGCGCAGAGCAACACCAATACTTAGGGCCCGATGGTCCAGACGGGTGCCCAAAAAAGTTTTTTTTTTTTAAATAATGGGTTATTTGAATTTAACTGATTAGTACACTATTGCACTTTCATTAATAATGCCATTTTCTTCCACTCATCGACGGAGCGCTGGCATTGCAGGTGATGTGAGAGTGTTCATAGGAGGCAAGGACGAATACAAGGACCGTAACTTCAAGTGGCTGGACGGCACCCCCGTCAACGACAGTGAGTGGGCTCCGGGGGAACCCAACAACGAGTGGAAGAAGGAGCACTGCCTCGGATTCATTTCTTCAAAAGAACCAATGCTCATGGACATAATATGCTCGCAAAAACTGCGGTTTGTTTGTCAGTATTACCCAGGTCCCTAATATTAGTACTTAAGACATATATCTTTACCAGTGTAATCAACTCTGTCAACTTACATTGTAGTTATTTGTTGATATAAAACCTTGCTATAATGTACTTTTTCATCTTACCTGATCTCTTAGATTAAGAACCTGCCCGAAATGCTATGTGTGTTAGTGGCTTATCATGTATGTAAAAATACCATTCTTGTGTAATCTCACTAACCCAATGTACAATCTTGCAAATAAATTATTATTATTATTATTATTATTATTATTATTATTATTATTATTATTATTATTATTATTATAAGAGTTACACGGACAGAGAGGACGGGCAGCCTGAGGACTAGTGGTCTCCAGGATATCATTCTGATATTCACTATAAACTATTACAATGGATGCGTCAACAAATGGAGGTGATTACACCAACTACCAAATGAATAAGATTTCGTCGAGATTTGGTAAAGAAACAAGTATATAACGTAAAATTTATTTATGAAGAATCAGAACACACTAACGAAAATTCAATGACTAATAAATATGTATATCATGTTAAATTTAGGACAAGATTTATTTTTAACCTATTTATTTATTTGGATCCCGGCTGCATGTCCACCTAGCAGTAAATAAGTCCCCAGGAGTTGGTCAGCTTGGTGTGGGGTTGCATCCTGGGGAGGCTTAGTGATTCGACCCTAGGGGTGGGGGGGGAGGGGGAGGTGGGAATCGATATAAGCCTAACATGTACTGTATGTATATTCTGGCTGCCTGTATGTATATCCCAGATACAATAAATTACTGAACAAATCCACAAGGGCCGTGATGAGGGTTCGAACCTACGTCCGGGATGATCCTAGACGCACCTTACCTTAGTCGATTGCGTCACGACATGGTAAAAGAATTGCAACCAGGAGTGCTACTGCCCTCACACTCAACTACTGCCCTAGTTGATTTGTTCATTTGATGTATCACCCTATTGTGATTCCTGTGTATATAAATTACTTAATTATTTAAAATAAATAAAATAAATAAATATGTTTATTCAGGTAAGGTACATACATACAAGTGATGTTACATTAATGGATTGATATATAGATAGAGCTAGTACATACAATGCCTAAAGCCACTATTACGCAATGCGTTTCGGGCAAAAATATACTTTATATTTAGTTTCGGGCAAAAATATACTTATATTTAGATACTTGTCCTCAATATTGAGGCCGTTGTCAGCGTGAGGAGGCTTGGTGGGAGCTGTCGGAGTGTGATGTTCGTTGGAATATTGTTTCCTCTCCCTTTTCTTAGCCTTGTGCTCCTGCAGCCCACTTTGCCAATTTTGCTGGAGCCCTTTCTCTCTTCCTAGTGTTTATCTTCCTCTCTGCCTCTTCGCCTTTCTGATTGATTCTTCCTGCCGACTCATTTCTGTTTTGAATTTTCCTTTCGGTTTGCCTTCTTATGTTCCGATGGGAGTGAGAGTTGGGACGGCACTCTCTCGTCCGTAGAACTGGAGTACCTGACGTGTTCGAGCATGGGGAAAACATTTTTCTCAAATCCTGCATTCGTTGCTGAGGCCCATCTCGACGGACTAACGTATTTTTTTTTCGTTCTGTGCTTGCTTTCGACCCTCTTTCCCCTTCTCGGACTCCTGGGGTGGACGACTATCCCCCGTGAGTCAGACCGTCTGTGAAGGACGGAGCTCCGTAGCCCCGGCTTCATCTACAATTACTCCTACTGACTCTACCTGCTTCACTCCTGCTTCTGCGGCTGGGTTGAGCTCCAGAGTCTCCTGTGGTGGCGCTTTCACCCCCTGGTGTCTCCTCCTGACGCTGTCACAACTGCACCGTTCCGTCCCCGCCCTCCTAGGGGTCGTCGGCGCCTTCCCCGTGCTCGCACTAGTTTTCTTCCTGCTTCGCCTGCCACGTTCCAGAATTTGCTCGGCCCCGCTTCGGGGCGTAACTATTGTGATCCTTGTCCCGACGACCATCCCCGCTCTGACGTACATATCTGTAGATACTTGGTGACTGAGGATTTCCAGGTTACTTTTAACTCCACTCTGGCATGTGTTTAGTTGCGGTCCCCTTCTCAGGTGGCGGCCGCCCGCCGTGGTGGGACCCCAACTCTGGTGTCCCAAAACACCGTGATGAATGCCAGCACTGTTGTTCTCCCGCACAATGTTGCCGCTGGTGCCTGGCACCTTCCAGACTGTCGTGAGGATATTCGATATATCCTAGAGGCTCGAGGCTTTCCTATCTTCCAGATGGACCCCTTCACTCATCCTCTTCGTGGTCGTGGTCTTCGTTCTCGTCGTAATGTTAAGATCACTTTCAATTGCAGGACCCTACCGTCTTCTGCCATGCTTGCCAGTGCACATTGCTCCGTTCAGGAATACAGTCCCTCTCCACGCCTGTGTAACAGGTGTCGGTAATTTGGTCAAGGTACAGCTGTCAGGTGTCCCTTTGGCCCCTTGTGTGGTGAACCTTGACATATTACTACTAATTGGTCATCTTAACAAGCTCACTGCATCAACTACAGGGAGGTGGTGCATTTTCTCGGTCGTTCATCCATTTAAATGTTGAACAGACCGTCCTTGTCTTGAAGCATCGCGGCCGCACTTCTCAGAGAGGCTCGGCACCAGGCGCCCGTCCCCTGTGCTTCCTATCCCTCTCCAGACCCTGTTTGTTGGCCTCGCCTCCTTCCTCCCTCACTCTCGCCTCCTTCCTCCCTCACTCTCACCTCCTTCCTCCCTCACTCTTGCCTCCTTCCTCCCTCACTCTCGCCTCCTTCCTCCCTCACTCTCGCCTCCTTCCTCCCTCACTCTTGCCTCCTTCCTCCCTCACTCTGCCTCCTTCCTCCCTCACTCTCGCCTCCTTCCTCCCTCACTCTCGCCTCCTTCCTCCCTCACTCTTGCCTCCTTCCTCCCTCACTCTGCCTCCTTCCTCCCTCACTCTCGCCTCCTTCCTGCCTCACTCTCGCCTCCTTCCTGCCTCACTCTCGTCTCCTTCCTGCCTCACTCTCGCCTCCTTCCTCCCTCCCTCACTCTCGCCTCCTTCCTGCCTCACTCTCGCCTCCTTCCTGCCTCACTCTCGTCTCCTTCCTGCCTCACTCTCGCCTCCTTCCTCCCTCACTCTCCTCCTTCCTCCCTCACTCTCGCCTCCTTCCTGCCTCACTCTCGCCTCCTTCCTGCCTCACTCTCGTCTCCTTCCTGCCTCACTCTCGCCTCCTTCCTCCCTCACTCTCGCCTCCTTCCTGCCTCACTCTCGCCTCCTTCCTCCCTCACTCTCGCCTCCTTCCTCCCTCACTCTCGACTCCTTCCTGCCTCACTCTCGCCTCCTTCCTGCCTCACTCTCGCCTCCTTCCTCCCTCACTCTCGCCTCCTTCCTGCCTCACTCTCGCCTCCTTCCTCCCTCACTCTCGCCTCCTTCCTCCCTCACTCTCGCCTCCTTCCTCCCTCACTCTCGCCTCTTTCCTCCCTCACTCTCGCCTCCTTCCTCCCTCACTCTCGCCTCCTTCCTCCCTCACTCTCGCCTCCTTCCTCCCTCACTCTCGCCTCCTTCCTGCCTCACTCTCGCCTCCTTCCTCCCTCAGTCTGCCCCCTTCCTCCCTCACTCTCGCCTCCTTCCTCCCTCACTCTCGCCTCCTTCCTCCCTCACTCTCGCCTCCTTCCTCCCTCACTCTCGCCTCCTTCCTCCCTCACTCTCGTCTCCTTCCTCCCTCACTCTCGCCTCCTTCCTCCCTCACTCTCGCCTCCTTCCTGCCTCACTCTCGCCTCCTTCCTCCCTCACTCTTGCCTCCTTCCTCCCTCACTCTCGCCTCCTTCCTCCCTCACTCTCGTCTCCTTCCTCCCTCACTCTCGTCTCCTTCCTGCCTCACTCTCGCCTCCTTCCTCCCTCACTCTCGCCTCCTTCCTGCCTCACTCTCGCCTCCTTCCTACCTCACTCTCGCCTCCTTCCTCCCTCACTCTCGCCTCCTTCCTCCCTCACTCTTGCCTCCTTCCTCCCTCACTCTCGCCTCCTTCCTCCCTCACTCTCGCCTCCTTCCTCCCTCACTCTCGCCTCCTTCCTCCCTCACTCTCGCCTCCTTCCTCCCTCACTCTCGCCTCCTTCCTCCCTCACTCTTGCCTCCTTCCTCCCTCACTCTCGCCTCCTTCCTCTCTCACTCTCGCCTCCTTCCTCCCTCACTCTTGCCTCCTTCCTCTCTCACTCTCGCCTCCTTCCTCCCTCACTCTCGCCTCCTTCCTCCCTCACTCTTGCCTCCTTCCTCCCTCACTCTCGCCTCCTTCCTCTCTCACTCTCGCCTCTCTCGCCTCCTTCCTCCCTCACTCTTGCCTCCTTCCTCCCTCACTCTCGCCTCCTTCCTCCCTCACTCTCGCCTCCTTCCTCCCTCACTCTCGCCTCCTTCCTCCCTCACTCTCGCCTCCTTCCTGCCTCACTCTTGCCTCCTTCCTCCCTCACTCTCGCCTCCTTCCTCCCTCACTCTCGCCTCCTTCCTCCCTCACTCTCGCCTCCTTCCTCCCTCACTCTCGTCTCCTTCCTCCCTCACTCTCGCCTCCTTCCTCCCTCACTCTCGCCACCTTCCTGCCTCACTCTTGCCTCCTTCCTCCCTCACTCTTGCCTGCTCTGTCTAGGCGTGGATCCATCTAGGTGGAGGCGCCTGATGGCACTTCCATCTAGGGCGCCTGACAGCTGGGTGGACTGAGAGTCCACCCAGCTGATTCGGATTCGTAGTCCAGAGGTTCCGGGTTCGATCTCCGTTGGAGGCAGAGACAAATGGGCAAAATGTTTCTTTCACCCTGATACCCTTGTTACCTAACAGTAAATAGGTACCTGGGAGTTAGATAGCTGCTACGGGCTACTTCCTGGGGGGGGGGGGGGTGTAACAAAAAGGAGGCCTGGTCGAGGGCCGGGCCGCGGGGACGCTGCGCCCAGAAATCATCTCAAGATAACCACAAGATCTCTGCCGGATTTATCTCTGCTCTCCTCCTCCTGGACTTCTCTGCACCTGCGTCCCACTCTCCCTAGTGTCCTTTCCATTCGTGTTTCTTTCTGTTTCTCTCTCTTTGTTCTATGTCTATGCCTATTCTTCCATGGAAT